GCCTAGGCTGACACACCAGCTCGCTCACGTACGAAGGGAGATGTTGGAAGAGTCGCCGTCAAACAAACAAGCGAGCACACCAAAGACCCTGGGATAGAGCCTGGACCCCAACGGAGCCCCGGAAGAAAGGCCTGGGGCCTCCTTCTCAGCCCTCAGCCACTGCAGGCCCAGAGAACACAGTCCTGAGGCCCAGGGCACCTGATGGCAACTCTTGACGGGTGCTTTTTAAAAACTATTTTATTGTGTGTTTGGGTGGCAGTTTACCGCGCCAGTTTGTTTTCCATTCAACAAGTTCTACACATTGGGTTTAGTGACCCTGACGGCAGCCCCCTGTTTCCTCCCTAGGCCCCCACTTCCATTCAACCTTCTTTCCGGTCGCCTGACCTTGGCTTGGGGCAGAGGCTGTCCTTTGGTCTGCGTGCCTGCTTGCTCCTCAGAGCAGCGTGTGCCTCATGGGTGCTCAAAACTCAAACCCAAACTCCCAGCCACCGAACGGAATGGAAGTTAATGCATGGCAACCCTGTAGGACAGGGGGGAGCTGCCCCGGGAGCTTTTGAGACTGTAACTCTTCATGGGAGCAGAGAGCCTCGTCTCTCTCCCCTAGAGCGGCTGGTGGTTTCAAACCGCTGACCTTGCAGCTTAATGAGTAGCCACTCTGCCATGGGCCTGGCTGTGGTTTGGTTAAAAATGATCCTGGGGGTTCCCTTCTAGGTGGGAAGGGTGTCTATGGATCCCAGCCTTGGGGATCCGCCAGTCTCCGTCAGACCAGGAAGCCTGTCCCACCTTTCTCCACCCCTCTGTCTGGGCCCTTCTGCTGAGGCCCCACCAGGGGTCCAGCCATGGTTCCAGTCTTCTGCTGAGGCCAGTGGCCGCTGCGGCTTGCGGCGACCATGAGCCCCTTGGGCACAGTATTTCCTTGCGTCCTTGATTTTCTGGACTCTGCGAGGCAGCCGGCTTTTCGTGCCAGAACGGAACCTGGTTCCTACCCCCTAGCCCGCTTCTTTTCCCAGGGCCTTCCCCGAGGGCCTGCTCTGCTTGGAGGGTCTGGTTTCTCCTCCCTGGTGGCTCAGCATCCTGGGACAGTCCCTTATGGAGCATGCCCTTGTAATCAGAGACAGAGCAGTGGAGGCTCAGGGGAAGAGTGTGTGCCCACAAACGGTCTTACATGCAGGAGGCTGGCTGCAGAAAGGGGTTCCGAGGGGTCTCCCTCAGCCTAAGTTTCCCCCCCTTGCCCCTTCTAGTCATCCCTGTGCAGAGATGGGCAGGGTTCCACACTTGTAGAGGAGGACTTGGGATCCGCCCTCCCCCGGTTCGCATCTGTCCAGGAATCGGTCTCCAGGCCCTTCTCCAGCGCAGCTGGTGTTTCCATCTCCCACCCTCCCCGCTTGCAGTCAAGCGTGAATCCAAGAGCCCCCCCCCAGGACTCCTTCTGAGATGGGGGCAGGCCCCAGTGAGTGTCTGGCGCCCTGATGAGGAAGCAGGATGCGTAGACACAGGGAGACCACCAATCGTCGTGGCTGGGACAGACCGGAGTGATGTTTTCACGAGCCCAGGATTGTGCAGCTACCGGACTACAGCGGGGAGATGGAGGCGGACCCCCACTTACCTGTCGAAATGGGCTTGCACACTTGCAGGGTCTGAGAGACGGTGGCCGGGCCAGTACCCCGAGGGGTGACCCTAACCCTGGCCTGCCCTGCTCTCAGCCCACCACACCTTCCAATGCAGATCATCCCATGCTGGGCTATTGGGCCAGGCCAGCCTCCACCAGACCCCAGTGCCCTGCAGCCAAAGTGGGGGCCAGTCCCGTGCTGTTGGCCTCCCCAGAGAGCTCTGCCTGCAGAGAGGAGGAAGGTGGGCACTGGCCCCGAGCGGCCGTCACTGAGCTGGGCGGCAGGTGCTGCTTACCCCAGAGGGCCGTGAAGACCGAGAAGAACACAGTGGCCGGGTTGTCGAAGAGGTGGCTGGCCCGGGCGGTGGCACATGCTGAGCTCATCTTCCAGTAGCTGCAGGTCTTGTCACACAGGGGACACATGGTGATGTTGTACCTCTGGTCACACATCTCCATGCTGAAAGAGAGGCGGGCACACATGAGTCCCGGGCCAGCCTTCCCCGTGTCTCCTGGGTCCCTGTCTCGGACAGTCGTGCCAGCCAGAGCCCAGGCCCCTCCCTCTCCATCCTGGCCCACAGGTGACCCAGGGCCCAGGTTTGGCTTCATACCCTGTCGGCACCCTCTCTCTGAGTTGAACAAGGTGCCCTGCTTTTTTGAACAGCCCATCCCAGAAGCCACCAGTGCTGTTGGGAGATAGCGTCCTCTTCTGGTGGTGGTGGGGACACGGGGGCAGCTGCTTCCACGGCCTCTGCTGGTGCCTGCCCCTCATGAGATGATGTGTTGTAAACCCCAACCTGGATACTTGTGATGAGAGGAGCCTTGGTAGCACTGTGGCTTTGGTGTCCAGATGCAAGGTGGGTGGTTCAAACCCCCACTGAGCCAGAGGAAGATGAGGACAGCCGCTCTCTGCGGCTTACAGGGAGAAGTTTGACTCTGCCTGCTGGTGCACCAGCATGGACACGGCAGCAATGGCATGGTTCTGGTGCGGCACAGTGGGCTAAGCATTGAGCTGCTAACTGCAAGGTCTGTGGTTTGAACCTACTGGGTGCTCTGCAGGAGAAAGACGAGGTTTCTACTCCGGTAAAGACTTACAGCCTCAGTAACACACAGGGGCAATCCTGCTCCGTCCTAGGGGGTCGCTCTGACCTGACTCCACTCAATAGAAAAGCTTGCTTTCTGTTTTTGGGCTGGTTACAATCCCATCTGGGGATGGGCATTCTGCGTTATGTTAAAGAACAGGATTAGTCTAGGAGACTTGGCGGGGTCCTGGGCGCTGAGTTGGGTGGCTAGCAGCAGGTCAGCAGTTCAACAACCACCAGCCGCTGCTCTGGAGAAAGATGAGGCTTTCTACTCCCATGCAGGGCTATACTCTCCGGAACCCATACGGCAGGACTGCCCCTGTAAGTTTCCAAGACTGCAACTTCTTGTTTGTTTGTTTTTAAATCATCTTATTGGGGGCTTGTACAACTCTTATCACAATCCATTGTGTCGAACACATGGATACATTTGTTGCCATCATCATTTTCAAAACATTTTCTTTCTACTTGAGGCTTTGATATCAGTCTCTCATTTTTCCCCTCTCTCCCCCAACCTCCCTCCCTCACGAACCCTTGATAATTTAATAATTATTTTTTTCATGTCTTACACGAGGGGTGCTCAATACATTGACTGCGATCTACTAAGTCGATCACAAATGTAGTGTGGGGAGATCGCACAGCATTAAAAAAAATAGATGCCAGCCTATCATCAATCCTGTCACTTAACTGATATACAGCGCAGCCAATCAGATGCAATCGTAGGTGTCACACGCATGCGCGAACAACTGTGCTAAGTGCAGCAAAACCGACAAGCTAAGTTATCGCCAATTTTTAGGCCTTGTTTTTTTTTTTTTCTTAAACGTAAGAAAGGGTATTAAAACGAGTGGGGGAGCTGGACCAAGTGAGAAGACAAAGACGTATCACTTTCCTACGGAACGGGAGATTCTGACACTGCACTCTGACATTCAGCTGAAGCCCAGAGCGCATGGACAGTTCTGGAACCTACTCGCAGAGGGAAAGCACCCAAACGTGAGAACATGTGCTGCCTCCTTGACCGCATTCTTCGGCTCTGCTTATTTACGTGAGTCAGCTTTTCCCACGTAAAGATCACTAAGTCCAAGTTCCGTTCCCCCATGACTGATGGTCATTCGGAAGTGTGCTTGGGGAGGGCTGTCAGCAGCTACTGTCCGGACTATGCATCCCTGGCTCATTCCATTCCGTGCAAGTCATCAGAGTAAACTCAGGAAATGACAAAAAATGTACATTGTTAATTGTGTTGTCTTGTGCAGTATGGATGCATGCAGTTATGCCAGGTACATAAACATACATTGGACATATGAAGAAGTCTCAATGCATTTATGAATAAATATAATAAGTAACTAAATATATTTTGCATTTTTATAGTTGGTAGAGCATTTTCACTTGATCATTTTATAAGCAGCTTGCATGCTGAAAAAGTATGAGCACCCCTGTCTTACACTGACTGATGTCTCCCTTCACCCATTTTTCTTTTGTTCATCTTCCTGGGAGGGGATTATAGTAGATCATTGTGATCGGTTCCCTCTATCTCCTTCCTTCCCTTTCCTCTCTTGGTATGACTTGGTATGGCTAATATTGGCTAATACTGTTCCTGAGGGGTTTATCTGTCCTGGATTCCCTGTGTTTCCAGCTCTTATCTGCACCCATGTACATGCTCTGGTCTAGCCGGATTTGTTAGGTAGAATTGGGATCATGATGGGTGAGGGGAGGAAGCATTTAAGAACTAGAGGAAAGTTGTATGTTTCATCAATTGCTATACTGCACCCTGACAGGCTCGCCTCCTCCCCGTGAGCCTTCTGTAAAGGGGTGTCCAGTTGGCTACAGAGGGCTTTGGGTCTCCACTTCGCACTCCCCCTTATTCACAATGATGTGATTTTTTGATGCCTTATACCTGACCCTGTCGATACCTCGTGATCACTTAGGCTGTGCAACTATTTTTTAAAAATCACTTTATTGGGGGCTCGTACAATTCCCATCACAATCCATGCATCCATCCATTGTGTCGAGCACATATGTACGATTGTTGCCGTCATCATTCTCAAAACACTTGCCTTCCACCTGAGCCCTTGATATGGGCTGCTCGTTTCCCCCTCCCTCCCCTCTTCCCCTCCCTTATGAACCCTTCATAATTCACAAATTATTATTATTTTGTCATATGTTACACTGTCTGATGACTCTCCCACCCTTTCTCTGCTGTCCATCCCTCAGGGAGGAGGCTATATGTAGATTCTTGTAGTCGGTTCTCCCTTTCTACCCCACATTCCCTCCACCCTCCAGGCATCGCCACTCTCCCCACTGTCCGAAGGAGTCATCTGTCCTGGATTCCCTGTGTTTCCAGTTGCTATCTGTACCAATGTACATCCTCTGGTCTAGCCAGATTTGTAAGGTAGAATTGGGATCGTGATAGTTGGGGGGAGGGGGGAAGCATTTAAGAACTAGAGGAAAGTTATGTGTTTCATCCTTGCTACCCTGCGCTCTGACGGGCTCATCTCCTCCCCACAACCCTTCAGTAAGGGGGTGTCCAGTTGCCTACTGATGGGCTTTGAGTCTTCACTCTGCACTCACCCACATTTACAATGATATGATTTTTTGTTCTTTGATGCTTGATACCTGATCCCTTTGACAGCTCGTGGTCACACAGGCTGGTGTGCTTCTTTGCTGTGAAACTTCTTATAGGAGTAGAAAGCCTTGCCTTTCTCCTTCAGCATGGCTGCTGGTACTGAATTGCCGACCTGGTGGTTAGCAGCCGGATGCGGAACCACTACACAGCAGCCAGGTTACTGGCCTGCACTGGGGACAATGGCTTTGCACTGCCATGGACATGGGCTCAGAGAAGGCAAATCCCTTCCCTGATGCCACACAGCCCAGCAGGATTGGAACCCGCTCCTCTGGCCCTTCAAAGTGCCTATGCCCTGGATTGCCCTCATCCACTGCCCAGAGGCCAGGGCAGCCCCGTTGGGTCCCCGCTTGGTGATTTCTGCCTCTGTGATTCCGGAGTGGGCCTCCGTTTCTCTCCCTTCCATGAGAGGGACCAGGACGAAGTCACCTGAGCTACGAGCTGGGCCCCAGCTGACCCAGCCTCGCTTCCTTCTGCCGCAGACAGACAGACAGACAGACAGACACGCAGGCCAGCGGGGCCTTGGGAAGAAGGCAGCAGGCTTGAATGCTTTCTTTGTGTAATTTCTGGATACATGTAACACCCGTCATCCCGCCCCCCACCGTCCCCATGCCTGCCCCAGGGCCCTTGGCATCAGGAACCTTGGCTGAAAGGCACTCTATGCCCCTCCTGCATCCCGCCCACCCAACCCCCCCATCCCCCGCCCCCTAACCCCCCATCCCACCCCCTGCTATTGTGAACATCCTGCCTGTTCTCTGCTTCCAGTTACAGAGGGCAAGTGCTTCCTAACAGGGCTGTGTGTATGCTGAGGCCAGGCCAGGGACCATGTGGGGCTGGCAAATGGACAGATTAGGCACGGTGCCTCCTCCCCCCTGCTCCCTGGGGAGCGCGGGGAAGCGGGACTAGGGGAATGTGGACCGTGGAGCCAGCCGGCTCTGGGTTCAGGGCTCAGCTTCAGTGTTAGCTACTTGTGCACCCCTGGGCCTCGGTGTTCCCATCTGTAGAATGGGGGTGGAGACCCAAGGTGGCTGTGCATATGCCATGGGGCCATCGGGGGTTAAACTAGCTAGTGTGCGGGAAGCCTTGGGGTGCGGGCCTGGTGGGTGGGCCCACGGCTACTGTCCACACACAGAACCAAGCCCCTCACCATCTTGAGAGTGGACAGAGAGCCCTGTCCGGAGCTGGCTGATTGGGGCGTCTCTTCCTGCTGACTTCCCTCTCTCAGGGGGTGGGGGGTGTCTCTCTAGGGAGGAGAGAGGACTGTGTGAGTGACAGGGTGCTGACACCCCCAGCTGCCTATGACTGAGACCCTCTCCTGGGTTACCTGGTCTGCGGTCCAGGTTGGGGGCGGGGGCCTAGAGCCCTAAGCGGTGGGTTTGGGCCCAGGGAGGGCTGGGGACCTCAGGGCATGTCTGGGGTTCATGGTGCCAGTGGGCCCTGGCATCCAGGACAAACACCAGGAGCAGACAAAAGGCTATTCTTGCCAGAGCAAACCCTCTTCCTCCCGCCTCCCCTCATCCACCTGGGGAGGAGGGGCTGTTTCTGAGAGGATGGGAGGGGCAGGTAGCACCCTGCAGAGGCCCTGGCTCCCTGACAACCTCTGACACAGTCGACTCCAAAGGACACAGCCCCCAGTCCCCCTACCTCTGTCAGAGGGCACGAGGCAGGGCAGCAGCACAGGCTCTGGTGGGCTCTGACTGGCCATGGCGAACCCCAAGGGCAGCTGGGTTCTCCGAGGACACGTGATGAAGTTGGCCCTTGAGGGCCTCCGAGGGCCCTTTCCTGGGCGTCCACCCCCAGGGCAGGCTGAGCTCCTCACCCAGCATCAAGGAGCCCTGGTGGCACAGTGGTTACCGCAAGATCAGCAGCTCGAAACCACTAGCTGCCCTTTGGGAGAAGGATGAGGCTTCCTATTCCTGTACAGAGTTCGACTGGGAAGCCCACAGGGGCACTTCTGCCCTGTCCTCTAGGGCCCCTGTGAGTTGGCATGGACTCGATGGCCGTCATTTCGATTTGATTTTAAAGAGTGACCGTCTCAGAAACCGGCAGGTGTGGTTCTGCCCTGTCCGGTAGGGTCGCCGTGAGTTGGCATCGCCTCCATGTGGTGGGTTTGGTTGGGGTTTGGTCAAGGTGGGTGAAGCAACCTATCTAGCAAGCTGCCGCCTGATGACACCTCCCTGGGGTGTGGCCCTCTGTCTAGAGCGAGACCCGGAAGGGACCTGACCTGAGCGCTCTTGCCCTTTGCCTCCCTGCCTCCAGGGGCGGTTTCATGTGGACCACTGTCCTGGGCGCTGCCAGTGTCCTGCTGTGCTCCCACTGGCCTGGGTCCATCACCTCTGCCCCCACGGGCCTGGGCTTTCTCTGCACCCTGCTTCACCTTTCTGCATCAGTGGCCTGCCGCTACGGAGTCTGAAGCAGCTCTTGCTAGCCTCAGACACACGGACTTGAGTCCCGCTGGGCTGGGACACCTTCTGGAGGTGAAACTGCACCTTGGGACACAGCTCTTTCTTACACACATGCCACGGCTTTGTTTCTCTAGATGACACGGCCTGGCACCCAGGGAGGAGGAAGGCAGATGGGAGACCCCCCACCCCGCCCCCAAGCCCCCCTGGTGGGGATGTCAAGTCTCCCCTGCCGTCCCCCTGAGGGCACACACCCCTAAGTGCCAGGTTCCTCAGCAGCCAGTGGAGCCGTTCACACGCACACAGGCACCTTGGAAGCGAGTGGCAGCCCTCCGATCGTAAAGCCCCTGGGGACTGTACGGAGCGGGTCACTCGGCACACACAGGATCGCCAAAACCGCCGGTAAAATCCCCGGGCAGACACAGTCACCGCCCCCACAGTCCAACCCAGGGTGTGGGGTGACGGCACACGCCGTCCCTGCAGACAGAGGGACAGGCTTCCTCCTGCCTGCTCACCCCATCGCCGCCCCGTGAAGGTCTGGACTGAAAGTGGATGGCATATTTGAGGTGTGAGTCACTGATGACCACGCTCTGTGTGCCCCATGACCGGGGTTGGCCCAGCGGGGCTGCTCGCTGGTGTTCAGTCAGCTTGCCCACGGGGTGAGGGATCCTCACAGGGTGAGCCAGCCGGGACTGGGGGGGCCCATCTCCCTGAGCCACAGAGCCCAGCTTCAGAGACGCAGGCCAGAGCGAGCAGCGAGAAGCAGAGCGGGGCCTCTGGAGGGTGGGGCCGGCTTGCAGTCCCCGATTTGGGGTGAGAGGACTCGGCCCACACACTTTTGCCCATGGGCCTGGCAGCCCCATCGGAGGTTGGGGTCTGTTCCTCTCAGATGGGAAAGGCAAAGGACTGGGAGACCACTATACTCCTGGCAAGGGCACCTGGTGGCATAGTGGCTACGCACCGGACTGCTGATGGCCAGGTGCACAGTTTGAAACCAGCAGTGGGCCCATGGCGGAAACATAGGGCTTTCTCCTCCCATAAAGAGCTACCGTCTCAGAAATGCACAGGCCAGTCCTGCCCTGCTCTCTAAGGTGAGCATGCGTCGGGATCGACTCCAGGGCCCTGAGTTTGGCTTTCTGGGATGTCCTTGGGTAAGGGGAGCCCCAGTGGCCTAGTGGTTTACACGTGGGGCTGCTAACTGCAAGGTTAGCAGTTCAAAACCCTCAACCGCTCTTCGGGAGAAGCACAGGGCTCTCTACTCTCATCACGAGTGACAGTCTCAGACCCGCCCAGGGCCCGTGCTAATGAAAGTGAGTTTGTGTGTTTGTTGTGGGGTAAGGAGGGCTAAGACACTGCCAGGTAACTGTGGCTAATAGTTAGCTGGGGGGTTCAAACCGAACAGTGGCTTCTTGGGGCCAAAGTCAAGTCCGTCTGCTCCAGTAAAGACTGCCAGCCTCAGAAACTCCCGTCCTGTGCTGTGGGGTTGCTATGGGTCAGAATTGACTTGATGGCAGGGGAAGTTAGGGGTTCAAGACTTCCCAGAAGCTCGGAAGAAAGGCCTGGGCATTGACCCCCCAAACCCCTACCCGCCCTGCCCGGAGCCCATTTGTACTCTGGCCCACTTGGGGTCCCCAGAGTCAGGGTGGCCCGTGGAGAGGGAGGAGACCTCAGAGTGCCCCTATCTGCCTCATGACCTGGTTGATATTTGGGGGAGCAGGCAGGGGTGCCGCTGGCCTTCTTGTATGAGTACCCCATACCTGATGTCTGCCTCTGCAAACAGCATCAGCTCTCCACTCAAAGGTCAGGGTGTCCTGCATCTAGTACCCCAAACCACCTGCCATCGAGTAGACTCTGTCTCCTGACAACCCCCGTGTGTGTGTGTGTGTGTGTGTGTGTGTGTGTGTGTGTGAGAGAGAGAGAGAACTGTGTCCCCAAGGCCGGTCTTTCCATCTTAAAGCCCTTGACTGTGAGTCAGGGGAAGGCTGACAGAATAAATCCATTCTCCATTCCACAATTCCTGCCGACTTTGCTCCACATCAGGAGCCCTGGTGACGTCATGTGTGACACATCAGGGCTGCTCATCTCAAGGTCTGCAGTTTGAAACCACCAGCCGCTTCCCGGGAGAAAGAGGAGGCTCTCTACTCCCCTAAAGAGTAACCATCTCAGAAACCCACAGGGGCAGTTCCACCCTGTCCTACAGGGTCACTTTCTACTCCTGTAAAGAGTGGCAGTCTTGGAAGCACCCAGGGGCAGTTCTGTTCTGTCTTGCAGGATTGCTGTCAGTAGGAATCTCCCACAGAGCGATTGATGGTTTCAAACTGGTGACCTTGCAGCCTAATGCATAACCGCTACACCACCAGGGGTCCTGAAAATGAAACCCACTCACCGCCATGGAGCTGATGCCGCCTCAGAGCGAGCTTATAGGATGGGGTAGAACTGCCCCTGTGCTGCGTTTCTGAAGGTGTAACTGTTTACGGGACTGCAAACCCGTCTTGCTCCCTAAAAATCGAAAGGGAAGGGAAATATCCCCCCAAAGAGAAAACAGGGCAGAGAGTAAAGCTCATCCTTGGTCGATCGCACCTCAGGAGGTTGCCAGGCCTTTAGACCGTGTGCCTGGTGTCTTTGCAGCCTGAGGCCCGGCACGTGCCACCACACTGGGGCCTGATGCAGAAGCCAGATTCCTGCTGCCACAGCAGTGGTGGTGGGGGGAGGAGGGGGCTCTTTGACAGGTGGCGGGCACAATCTGGTGGGGGGAGGGGGCGGCTGGCCCCGGCGCCTACCTGGGGATGTTGTCGTCCACCGTGGCGCAGCCGTAGAGGAAGACGATGACACCGACCACCGAGGCAGGGATGAGCATCTGCGTGTAGACGCCCAGCCAGGCGAAGTACAGTCCGATCTTCTCGCCGAAATACTTCCTGTGCCGCGGGAGGAAGGCCAAGCAGAAAGACTGGCTCACACTCAGTCCACCCAATGGGGGGGAAGGGGACACATCTCATCTTCCTCACCCCCCACCCCCCAGCAAGGGCCACCGCAAACCAGGGCCACCGCAAACCAGGGCCACCGCTGGTCCTTGTGCCCCGGAAGCAGAGAGGGGCTCGGGGAGGGTCCATCATGGCTGGCAGCCTGCTTTGCTTTTTTGCCAAGTCTGCCCCCTTCTCATCTCTGCCCAGAAAGGAAAGGGCAGGTTCATGTGTGACGGCTCGGGGCTGGGGTGGGGGTGGCTGAGGCACCTCTATGGGTGGGACCGTCTGGATCTCTCTGAGTCTAAGCCCGAGGATGAACTCGGCACGGAGGTGCCAAGAAAATCAATCTCCCTGCTCTGCAGTCTGGCACCTTGATGATCTTAAATGGCTCGTGGGCCAAGCTGTGGTCGGCAAGTCCCCACGTGTCCCCACCCCGGCTCTTCCCACTGTCCTCCCCCAGTGAAGATACAGGTACCCATGGGGAAGGATACACGGCCCACGGAGGCAATTCCTCCACATTTCGAAGGAGTTTTTTCTCTCCTGAATAGCACGGGTGAGACAGCCACATGCCAGCTGGCTGGGCCAGACCAGGCGGCCAGTAGAGGAGAGGTGGTGAGCCTGAAGGAGACGAGCCCCGCTCTGGGCCCATTTGAATAAATTGCATAAACCGATGGGAGCCCAGACTGGCAGGCCTGCAGGGAGCCCTTGGACTCTGCACACAGCTCTCAAACTTTCCTTCAAGTTTGAACTGGTCCCAGGTACTGTCGAGACACACAGGGACTGTCATCGGACTGAAATCTAACTGCATACTTGTTTCCCACAGCCTTTGCCTGGAGCCAGCCAGTCCCCCTAACACACCCTCTCCCTTACCTGACCAGGTCAATGGGCTGGTATTTATAGAAGACGCCGTAACTCGCCCACTCTTCGTACAGGAGCTAGGGCAGAGAAAAAGGTGGGAATATAACACTCTGTATTTGTTCCCAAGAACACAGAGCCATGCTCTGGGGATGCTGATGAAGGGATGGACTCAACCCCTAACAGAGTCATCCATCCACCCATTCACCCACCCATCATTCATCCATCCATCCACCCATCATCCATCCATCTATCTACCCACCCATCCACCCATCATCCATCCATCCA